CAAATTCTTTTTATGAGGTCACAGTCATTCTGATACACAAGCCACATATAACATCAACAAAGAAAGAGAAGTTTCCTCAGTTTCCTTTGGGAACATAGATGCAAAAATACCCAATAAAACTCACAAACAGAATCCAAAAGCACATCAAAGAAGTCATTCACTATGATGTTGTGGACTTCATCATATGAAAATCTGTCAGTATAACCCACCATATAAACAAACTGAAAGAAAAAGAATCCACCTAATTATCTTATTTGATGCTGAGAAATTCTTTGAAAAAAATCCAACACTCCTTCATAAATGTCTTATAAAGAACATAAATACAAGGGACACATCTAACCATAATAAAGGCACTCTACAGGAAATTAAATGGAGAAAACCTAAAGCAATTCCACTAAAATCAGGGATAAGACAAGACTGTCCACTCTCACCATATCTATTCAAAAGAGTTCTTGAAGTTTTAGATAGAGCAACAAGAAAACTAAAGGAGATCAATAGGATATAGACTGGAAAAGAAGAACTCGAAGTATCACTATTGGAAGATGATATGATTGTATACAAAACTGAGCTCAATAATTCTACCAGGGAATCCCGAGAGGTGATACAAACCTACAGTAAACTGACTGATTACTAAAGTAACTGAAAAATAAGTAGCCCTCCTATATACAAATGATAAGTTGGCTAAGAAAAAAATCAAGGCTAAAACACCCTTCACGTTATCTACAAATAATAGAAATTATCTTATTGTAAGTCTAAGTATGTGGTTTGAACGGAATGTCCCCCCCCAAAGGGAGAGGCAATCTTAGAAGGTGTGGCTTTGTTGAAATAGGTATGGCCTTTTTGGAGGAAGTGTGCCGCTGTGGCGGCAGACTTTGAAGTCTCTTTTGGTCAGGTTTTGCTTCTGTGACAGACAGTCCATTTTCTATTGCCTAGAAGATGTAGGACTCTCAATTACTTCTCAAGCCCCATATCTGTCTGCACACCACTATGTTCTTCACCATGATGATAACAGAGTGAACCTCTGAAACTGTGAGTAACCCCAATTAAATATGTTCCTTTATAAAAGTAGACATTGTCACGGTTTCTCTTCATGAGAATAGAAACCCTAAGGCACCAAGTAAAGGTTAAGAACTACAAGTCTTTGAATAAAAAAATTGGAGAAAGGTATCAGAAGATGGAAAGATTTCCTGTGCTCATGGATCAGTAGGAACAATATAGCAAAAATGGCCATATTACCAAAAGCAATCTACAGATTCAATGCAATTCCCATCAAAATTCTAACACCATTCTTTATAGAACTTCAAAGAACAATACTCAACTTTGTATGGAAAAACAAAAACTCAAGATAGCTAAAACAATCCTGTACAATAAAGGAATTTCTAGAAATAACACCATCCCTGATTTCAAGCTCTACTATAGAGCTATAGTAATAAAAACCACATTTTATTGGCAAATAACAGACAGATATTTCACTGGGAAGAGAGGACTAGTGAAGGGACTAGAGGACTAGAGAAGGGAGGGGAAATGTGGTCAGGATTCAAACAAACAAACAAACAACAACAACAACAACAACAAAGAAACTAGTTTCAACCAAGTTAGGATGTACATTTCTTTAAATTATTGTCTTAATTGATACAGGAGGGCCCAGGTCATTGTGGACAGCATCATTCCTAGGCAAATGGTCCTTGGTTGTATAAGAAAGCTAGCTAAGTATGGGCCAGAGTGTGAGCTGCAAATGAGTCAGCAAGTCATATGTTTTCTGCCTTAGATTCCTTCAGTGTTACAATATAGCACAGTACCAGAAAGGTAATGAACTCTAATCTCCCTCCTAAACTTCTCTTCTTTCAGGTTGTTTTTTTATCACAACAAAAGGAAGAAACGCAGAACACAGTATAGGTAAGACACATCTATTTGACTCAATGTGATTTATACTCAAGAACAAACCTCTGATCATCCTCTGGGCAAAGAGAAGGTGGTATTGAGACAGCAGTGACTGGTCTGAAAGTGCCTGTACAGTCTATTATATTAGTGTCTATTTTTCCATCCAGGATTTCTCTGTTTAATCCAGCTGTCCTGGAACCTGTTCCATAGACCAGGCTGGCTTATATCTAAGAGATCCATTTGCCTCTGCCTCTTTCATGCTTAGATTAAAGGCATTCAGCACCATGCTCAATTGTGTTTTGTCCTTTTAACATCAAGAGAAATGTCCTAGGACTTTTCCTCTGAAATTTCCTGGGCACAAGCTCCTCCTGAGAATACCCTTCCTCAGGATTCATACCAATTCCAACTTTAGTCTAGGGCTTCCCAGGACACATCTGGAACCCTGTCTAGACCTACAGTAGAAGGAATTAGGAGTCTGAAAGATCACAGTGATCAGGATGAGAGGCCCTGCACCCAACCTGTGTTGAACATATTAGGGAAGGACTCATTTGACATCTTGTTCATGCTTACTGTAGCCCTGAACAGAAGACTGATCATTGGTCTCCAGGGGTTATAGCAGGGCATTTGCTCAATGCTCTGAAAAACTGTTTCTCTGAGCCGTGGCCTAGCAGACTGATTCCATCTCCATCCATACTCACCTTGAGCTCCCTCCCTAAATCCTGCTCTGACACACTGGCTCCTTCCTTTGTCTGAGAACAACTTTCTGAATGGGGACTGTTAAGGTCTCCTTCCTCCTGGCATCTCTCAAAGGGAAAGATATGATTATCACCAGGAATCACTAAATAAAGGGCAAAGGTGACCCAGGAAGATCAGAGAGGGCATGTGTACACCCAACACATAATGTTAGAATGTTGACTTGAAACCATCCATAGAAAGACAGAGCCCACAGTCCTTTCAAGGACACACAGGCCACCTCTTTTCCAATGCTGAGCACATAAACTCCTCACACAACTGCTCCTGGGCCTCTCCCCTGAATCACTAATTTGATTGGTGACATCAGTGATAAAGGATTGATCTTCCTTCCTAGTCATCACTCAGCTGGTCTCTTTTCAAGCCTCAGAGACATTTCTGTCACCTTCCTTCAGGGACTAAATAAAAAGGTGTAGACTGAGTGCTTAGCTGGATTTCTGTGTCACAAGGACGCATACGCATGATGGATGCTCCCTGCTTTGTGCTGACAGACCCAAGGCAAGAACAGAGCAGATGTCAGCCCCAGGATGAGCCATTGTTCCTGAGGCCATGGGGATGCTTGTCAGCCTTGTTGCACAATTTGTGTCTTGGTGAAGGAACATAAAGGGAAGTTGAGAGGGATGCAGGGCATCACTGAGAGTGGAAGGGCTTGAGCAGTGCCTTGGACTGAAACCCCACCACTCACAGCCCATTGGATTCTGGGAAGTGCTTCTTTCTGAGAAGAATCTCAGCCCAGAAGGGGGAAGAACAGCAGAGCCTGAGTTCTGTGTTGGAGCTGAGGCTCTTCTCCTCTGAGGGAGGACAGCAAGTGAGAAGATTGATGGCGTTCTCTGTGCTTCTCTGCAAGGGGTGTACCCCCTGGCAGAGGCTTCTGCTCACAGGTAAGGGTACCCACTCCATGACTGTGTGGGGAGGGGGACTCAGAGGCACACTGGAGTCTCTTAAAGAGGGAAGGATCTTGGGAGGAGACTCAAGGTTTCTGTTTGCAGTTATAGTGCTGAAGGTACAGTGAGGGACAGAGGCTCAGCAGCCAGAAGCTCTCAGAGGACAGGGGGTGATGATGGTAAGAGAAGAGCCTCAAACACTGCATATTCACAGTGAATTTCATTAGTTGCAATGCTCTGAAGACAGCTGTTCTACATCATGACAGCATGACCCTCCAAATAGGAATCTAGTGGGAAAGCTAGTGAGATGTCTCAGTGTGGGAACATATGACAACCTGAAACCAATCCTCAGGTCCCACACAGTAGATGGAGAGAACAGACTCCTGCAGGCTCTACTCTGCCCTCCACATAGGTGCTGTGGCATGCACCCACACATGCATACTCCGACATATGTGCCCAGCACAGATTTGTGTCACATGTCTTCATATGTGTATAAGGAGACACATTATATTGGGGTTTTGTGGTCTGAGTTGGTGGGGACGATCGACTAGGTCTCTACCTCTATATGTGGTATCCTTTAGTCAACCAGCTGGACCTCTTTCTATCCATATACTAAATTCCCCACGTTTCCAAAGGACCTAGCTGGTTGTTTCCAGTCTCACCATTGAGGAGGCAGCTACCAGGAGACCACAGGAGAAACCAGTCTTCACAAATACATACCTATATTTACATACGTAAATCTAAAATTATTGATTTCACACTTAAATACAATTATTGCCCTCAGCTCCAAACCTAGGGACTCTGAAGAGAAATCCATGGAGACACATTCTTCTTTTCTTTATTCTGTTATCCACTGTGCCTGGGTCTTTTCCAGGAACTGAACTTTCCAAAAAAGATCCGACTAATCCTGTCCTTAAAAATTCCTGGTTCTGATGGGTGATGGTGTCTCAGGCCTTTAATCCCAGCAGTAGGGAGGCAGAGGCAGGTGATCTCTGTGAGTCCAAAGCCAACCTGGTCTACAGAACAAGTTCTAGGGCAGCAAAGGATACACAGAGAAACCCTGTCTCAAAAAACTGAAACCGAAACCAAAACCAAAAGATAAACAAACAAACAAAAACCCCTGGTTCTAGTGGACTTGATGCCAGTAAACCCTAAAGATGAATCCATAGTTTGAAGAGAATCACAAAGGGAACAGAGAAAAAAAATCAGAAAATGAGGACTTTCCAGAGAAGGAGTTCAGAGAGGCAGTGATCCTTACATGTATACTTTATGTGAGGAGGGATAAGGGACACTGTGTCAGGGAACCAGACAGACACCTGAACAGAGAAATCCTAAGAGGAAATGACTCAATCAGAGACTCTGAGTAAATTGAAGTTATGTTGCTTATGTCTGCAAATGAGGGTGAGCACACCCCAACTCACACACCAAAGCTGAGTGAGGATCACATCCATGTAACATTGGTGGTTTTTCTCAATTTCCTTCTAGCCTCCCTTTTAACCTTCTGGCACCTGTCCACCACTGCCCATGTGATCACTGTATCAGTGCCACCCCTAGTGGCTGAAGGAGATGATGTCCTGTTCCTTGTCCACAATCTGCCAGAGGAAATTAAATCCTTTGTCTGGTTCAAAGGGCTAGGAAATGCAACAGGAAAAATTGCAACATATGCACGGCACAGAAATTCAAGAAGGCCAGGTCCTGCGTACAGCAATAGAGAGACAATATATCAAAATGGATCCATGCTGTTTGAGAAGGTCATCCTGAAGGACTCAGGATTCTATACACTAAAAGCCTATGACAGACTTGGAAATATTGTATCAACAACACATGTGACCCTCAATGTGCACGGTAAGTGATTCATTGTGAATCTGTGACCTAGGTTGAACAATGGACACACCTTATCAGGACATAAAGCCTTATCTTAGACAAATATTAAGACCCAACTTAGGAGGATCTCTCTCTTCCCTTCTAGCTGAGCTTTGGAAGTGTGGGCGCCGTTCTACCTCTTCACAACCCACCATTGAATCAGTGCCACCCAGAGTTGCTGAAGGGAGAAGTGTTCTTCTACTTGTTCGCAATCTTCCAGAGCATATTACAGCCTTTCTCTGGTTCAAAGGAGAGACTGACTTCAAGAAGCGCCTCCTGGCTTTCCACCATTTACCATCCAGAAAACCAGTCTTTTGGGGGCGTGCATACAGTGGCAGGGAAACACTCAACAGTGATGGATCCCTGCTGCTTCACAGTGTCAGTCGGAAAGACAGTGGATTGTACATACTACGAATTCTGAGAATAGATGGTAAATATGAAGAAGCACAAGTGCAACTCCAGGTGGACAGTAAGTGATTCTCTGTGAGTTTTCAGAGCTGGGTGGGGCTTAGACACACAGAACATCCACGACGAGCTTAGCCTTCCTTCCCTCTTACATTGTTTCCCTGGGTGGAGGTTTGAGCACTTAGTGTAGAGACAAATGACCATAGACCAGCTTCCATCTTCTTACTCTGCCTGCGTCCATGAAAACCTTGAGGTAAAGCAACTCAGCTTAAGTGAGTCAGCCCACAGTCTATTGGGGCTCTAGACCAGGGATCCCTGGGTCCTGTCATCTTTCCACGGCTGGACTAAAGTGACCCAGGGAAACATTTTCTATTACAGTACCCTTACAGCATGATAAGAAACAACAGTTTTAGAACATCTGTGTCAACTGGGGTATTTATTATCTCCAAATTAAGAGAGTCAGTAACAAAATACAAGACCTGGTATAGAGACGATGGAGGAGTGCTTCCTACTGGCTTGCCTTTCATACTTGCTCCATCTGCTCTCTTATATCACCTAGGAGTCCTAGCCCAGAGCTTGAACTGCCTGCAATGGTCTGAATCATTTTGCCTCCACTCGCAATTAAAAATGTACTATAGATTGCCCACAGCACAATCTGGTGGTGGCATACTCAACTGAGGCCTTGTCTTGTAAGATGACTGCTAAATTGTGTCAAATTGATAAAAACCTATCGAGCCTAATTCCTAAACCTTTTTAAAATTTTGTTTCATTAATATTTTTTAGTATAAACTTTTCTCATTTTGCATAGCTATCCCTGTTCCCACTCCCTCCCCTCCTCCTTCTTTCCCTACTTTCTCCCCACCGCACTCCCCCATCCAACTCTCAAAAAGTGTAAGGCTTCCCATGGGGAGTCAACAATGTCTGACACGTCACTTCAAAGTATGACCAAGGTCCTCCCCACTGTATCTAAGCTGAGTAAGGTAGCTACAAAAAGAATATGCTCCCAGAAGCCAGTTCAAACACTAGAGATAAATCCTGGTCCCACTGCCAGTAGCCCCACAGGCAGCACAAGCCCCACAACTCACCCTCACATCCAGTGGGTCTGATTTGGTCCTATGCAGGTTACACCACTATCAATCCAGAGTCAGTGAGCTCTCGCTACTTCAGGTCAGTTGTTTCTGTGGGTATTACCATCACGATCTTGACTCCTTTGCTCATATTATCAATCTTGCCTCTCTTGGACTGGTCTCAGATAGCTCAGCCCAGTGCTTCACTGTAGATCTCTGTATCTGCTTCTATCTGTTGCTGGTTGAAGGTTCTATGATGACAACTAAGGTAGTCATCAATCTGATTATGGGAGAAGGACAGTTTAGGAATCCTCTCCACTGTTGCTTACAGTCTTATCTGGGGTCATCCTTGAGGATTCCTGGTAATTTCCTTAGTGCTATGTTTTTAATAGTCTTTTATTGGCTTCATCAATCAAGATATTTCTTTTGTTTCTCTCACTGTCCTTCCCCCTTCTTGACCATCCCATTTCCTCATGTCCTCCTTCTCCCTTCCCTTCTTCCATCCCTTTCTCTCTTCACACTTCCTTCTTACCCCTTCTAATTTTCTCAGATCCTTTTTCTATTTTTTACTTATTTTTACTGAGCTCTACATTTTCTCTGCTCCCCTCCCTGCCTCTTCCCTTCCCCTTAACCCTCCCCCAAAGTCCCCATGCTCCCGATTTACTCAGGAGATCTTGTCTTTTTCTACTTCCCATGTATATTAGATCTGTGCATATTTCTCTTAGGGTCCTCATTGTCTGGGTTCTCTGGGATTGTGATTTGTGGGCTGGTTTCTTTGTTTTATGTTTAAAAATCACTTATGAGTGAAAACATGTGATAATTGTCTTTCTGGGTCTGGGTTACCTCACTCAAAATAACGTTTTCTAGCTCCATCCATTTTCCTGCAAAATTCAAATGTTATTTTTTCTGCTGTGTAGTACTCTATCGTGTAAATGTACCACATTTTCCTTATCCATTCTTAAATCAAGGGGCATTTAGATTGTTTGCAGGTTTTGGTTATGACAAACAAAGCTGCAATGAACATAGTTGAGCACATGCCCTTGTGGAATGATTAGGCATCCTTTGGACATATACCCAAAAGTGGTATTACTGGGTCTTGAGGAAGGTTGTTTCCTAATTTTCTGAAAAATCACCACACTGACTTCTAAAGGGACTGTACCAGCTTGTACTCCCACCAGTAATGAAAGAGTGTTTCCTTTACCCTACAACCTCTTCAGCATAAGTTGTCATCAGTGTTTTTGATCTTGGCCATTCTTACAGGTATAAGATTTGTTTTACAGGTATAAGATTTGTTTTACAGGTATAAGAATTGTTTTGATTTGCATTTCTCTGATGACTAAGGATGTTGAATATTTCCTTAAGTGTCTTTCATCCATTTAGAGTCCTCTGTTTAGGTCTGTACTCCATTTTTTTTATTGGATTATTTGTTCTTTTGATGAACAATTTCTTGAGTTCTTTGTATATTTTGGAGATCAGACCCCTGTCTGATGTGGGGTTAGTGAAGAACTTTTCCCATTCTGTAGGCTGTCGTTTTGTCTTGTTGACCATGTTCTTTGCTTTACAGAAACTTTTCAGTTTTAGGAGGTTCCATTTATTAATTGCTTCTTTCAGTTTATGTGTTGCTGGGGTTATATTTAGGAAGTGGTCTCCTTCTCAGGAGATCTTGTCTGTTTCTCCTTCCCTGGGGAATCCATGTATGTATCTCTTAGGGTTCTCCTTGTTACCTAGCTTCTCTGGGATCATGAACTATAGGCTGGTTATCCTTTGCTTTATGTCTAATATCCACTTATGATGTAGGAGGGTCATCTGTTTATGTTTTACTTTCATTGGTTAAATAAAGAAACTGCCTTGGCTTTTTGATAAGGTAGGATTTAGATATGTGGAGTAGACTGAACAGGATGCTGGGTAGAAGGCAGTATGGTAGATGCCAGGGGTCTCCTCTTTGGGATGGACACTGGTTAGAGTCATCCTGGTAAGCCACAGTCAAGTGGTGATGCAGATTATTAGAAATGGGTTGAATCAATATGTAAGAGCTAGCCAATAAGAGGTTAGAACTAATGGGCCAGGCAGTGTTTAAATAAATACAGTTTCTGTGTAATTATTTTGGGTAAAGCTAGCTGGGAGATGGGTGGTGGGAAGCGGCCCACCGCTCCTTTTACAACAATTGGCACTCCAATGTGATGGACTAAATCTACTTAGAAATCTGAGAGGGCTTAAAAAGGAGAGAGAGAGAGTTTAACACAGTTTTTGCTGTTTGCTAGGGTGTGCTGCAGAGAAATTTTCCTGACTCAACAGCCTCAGCAGGAAAAAAGCCTCACCATTTTAAAACAAGGCTTCTTGGGCCCTGCTGCAGGTGCAAACTCTGGCTATGTAGCATTTCTAGGCTCCGTTGTTTGTATGCCCACTCGGGATCGGGAAGAAAGTACTCTGAGACCATGCCAATGGCTCAGCGTTCCCTGCCTACACCTGGGCAGAAGGTGGGTTCAGGCTTAGGCATGTGGGAGAGCATGGCGGATTTCTGCTGCCATACAGAGAGATGTTTCCAGGCTGCATAGTGCTATGCATGGCCAATTTGGTTGTAACTCAGATAGAAAGAGTTTCTGTGCCACACACTTAGACTCAGAGTTAAAGTGCTGAGTGCGGCTCCTACCTGATGGCCCCAGAGCTAGCAGAAAATGGTACTTCTTCAGTTTTGAAATTGGAGAGAGGTGAAGCCAATAGTCAGAGCAGCCCCGCCACTCTGCAGCTCAGAAGTGCAACTGATTCAGAGTCACAAGCAACTTCGCCATGTTGGACTGGGCAGGGCAAGCCCACAGTATCTGTTTTTGACCTAGGAATGTCACAGTTTAGATTCTTAAGTGCTTAGCGATTTAAAAGCACAAAGCAAAAACTGACGCAATAGGACAGATTCAGACATAAAGGATCTCTAAATGGGTCATAGTGTTACACATATGTAGGCTTGGAATAGAGAGAAAAAATATATATAGAGAGAATAAAGTTAATGCCTTAAAAAAGGTAAAATCTTTAAAGAGATAGAGTACACATAGTTATAGATTAAAAGAAATAAAGAAAAATAAGCCATGTAAAAATGGAAAATTCACAGAGAGTTTGGGTTCTATATATTGTGTTTTCTTTGAATTTTTTGACTGTAAAGGAGCTAAGTACAGAGGCACATCTCATTGTGTGGGCTGCTAAGATAAACCAGGACATATATTATAAAGCTATCTTGACTTCAGAATTTGTATCTAAGAACATGATGCTTTGGAAAAGAGGTTCTTCTTTTGTTTTCTCAGAGGCTAAGACCCTATGGATTGCTTCTATCCCAATATGGTATGATAGACCACACCCTCCTGAAAGGTTGCTGTGAACACCCTCAAAAATCATTTTGCTCAACTGCTGACTGAGAGGAACCTAGCACACAGGTTATACCATGAAAGACCTAAATAACAGCGCCCCCATACAGCTGGAAAAAGTTTGGAGAGAAATAACTATGGCCATATTCCCAGATATTGTTTATAAATGTTCTTTTACATTTAAAGGGAGATATGATATAGATATGAATAATTTACATTGGTATAAATTTTGCTTTTATTGTTATAAAGTTAAGGTCAATTTTGTTATATGTATATGTGTTTCTACTCTTGATTGAGGTATTGTGATTGTGTAGTTCATTTAAACATGTAATGTATAATTAGGAAATATAGGTTGCTAATGAATAATCATCCATAATAGTCAAGCTTGTAGTCATGTTAGTCAGATTTTCTAGATATATAGAGATATATTTCAGTTAGATAGGTATTCTTCATATCTTTCAAAGACTACAGAATATGGCATTTAATGTTTTAATAACTTAGGGCTTTTCAGGACAACGAGACACATCTGCTCCCGGCAGCACCAATCTACTTCAAGAGGAAGATGGGCATCGAAGAGGCTACTTATGGAGTTTGTTACCATTTGGGCAAGAAACTGTTTTTGCCTAGACTGTTGCATAAACTGG